TTAAGCAGTAAGTTTTCTTCATCAAACCTTTAGATCCGCTGCGCATAGATTTATGTTGAATGTTTGTCTGTGATTTGTGCATATCGAGATCCTCGTGGGTTCCAACACTAATATCACCGATCAGAGGCACAACGTTTTTTCTAAAAAATTATGAAAACATTTTTGTGCCTCAAGTATTATACATAACTAATAATAAATATTTTTGTGAAGATCGATGTATTTTATTTCTACTTCTGTTTTTTAAACTACTTAATTACTTATTATATACATGTAGAACATCCTTAAGAAGTTCAAATCTTTTAGACTACTTAAAGTGCAAGAAACATAGCAGTTCACTTTCATCTTCCAAGGGGGTTGGTTTGTGGAATATGAACGTATGAAATTTTGCGGAGCTCATTAATTTGCCGTTTAACATAAACCTGTTCTCAATATTGTTTGTGATCATGATTGAATATTAAGCACTTTCTTATATTTTTATGTTCACAGATAGTTTATGGTTTTCATTTGGGTTATACTGAGGGAAGTATGTGTTGTAAATATTTTATGCTTGTTCGTTATTAGCTGGTGATAGAGGCGAGGCCTTTTTTCTTATTGCTGTAAAGTAATAAATTAAAATTTTTAGGTTGTTTGATCGAGAGATATATTTCACTGCGAGAAGCTATTTTTTCGAGGTGGGAGTCTGAAATTCAGTATCAATGGCACTTATTGTTCTTACTCTTCCTATTTTTTGTTTTTCTTTTGTTTTTCTTACTATTTCCTATTCCTTTTCTTTCGTCTCAATTCTTCACTAATTATTTTACCTTTTTCTTCAAAAAAAAAAAGATATTTACAAAATTTTGATAAAAAAAACAACATTTAAATGAGTTTCCTTAACTCTTAAGATAAACTCAGAGACAATCGTATTCTTACACTGTTTCTTCAATCCTCTCTACATACAAATTACACCAAATCTTTCAATTCTTTTTTTTAATTGAAAGATAATGTTTTGTAATTTTTTAAATGCAAATTGTTAATTAGTTTTGTATTGAAGAGAATATTTAGTTCTATGTCGTCCTTCTCAATTGAAAATAGCCACAGGAGGAGCACACTTGACAATTGTGAGATGGATAAAAAAATCATGAGTATTTTGTTTATGAATCAATAGACAAAATCGTAAGCAGATAACTTTGACAACAATTTCAGTTTCGGGATGCATGCGCGCATACTGGCTTTCAGAAAAACATTTCCATAAAAATAAAGAAAACACAATATATGTGAACAACTGTAACATACGAAGCTGCAACAACTTATGACAAATTTTTACTGTACTTTTAAGCATGAGGTTTTAGACCGCCGTGCGTGCACGGCGTGGCCAAATCTAGTATATACATGATATATCTCACAGGTCGACATTCTATGAGGAAAGGACTAATGAGGAGCTAGCAAGACACATGGTTTATGGAATGGACGCCCTATTGCCCATCGAGGTTGGATTGGAATCTCACAGGTCGACATTCTATGAGGAAAGGACCAATGAGGAGCTAGCAAGAGAGGCCCTCGACATGATAGAAGAAATGCGAGAGGAAGCCTGGCTGCGGTCCGTAGATTACAAGCAAAAAATGCGGGCAGCCTTTGACAGAAAAGTCCACACCAGGCGATTTCAAGTGGGAGACCTTGTCCTCAAGCGAGCGGATGCCCTTAAACATGTCGGGAAGCTGGAAGCCAACTGGGAAGGACCTTACACCATCACCAAAGTACTCGAAAGAGGCGCATACGAACTCGAAGATGGCGAAGGACGACAGCTGACGCGATCCTGGCACGTGATTCATCTCAAACGCTTTTATGCTTAAGAATTTCACACTCTTTTTGTACTGAACCATGGCTAATCAAATTCAGTAATGCAATCTCTCGATTTTATATTTAAGGTTGTGATTTTTATATTTCCGTGTCGATTTTATTATAAATAGAAAAATCAAGTCACTAAAAAGTTGTATGCCTCGAGCGAAATCTCGGCAAGGCTATAAAGCCCACGGCTATAAAAGTCGACTCAAGCAACAAAGGTTGCATGCCTCGAGCGAAATCTCGGCAAGGCTATAAAGCCCGCGACTGTAAAAGTCAACTCAAACAACTTGTCTCATATAACCCGTCTACGGCTGCAAAAGCACTAACTACAAAATGTGTGAGCAAAAGAAATGTCGACAAATCTACAATCACGTAGTTGCAAGTAAAAACTCGAGGAATGCATGAACACGACGTTGCAGGAATGTAATGACTTAAGACAAAGATAAAATAAGGAGTAATATTTAAAAAAGATTCATTACAAGAGTCGTCTCAACCTTTACAAATTGGAAAATTAGGTTGATCAAACGACAAATAGAAGGCAATAAGCCTCGAGAGTACAACTAAGTTATGACATCTTCGTCGCTCTCCTCGAGGATGGTCACGAC